GGAGGCCAGGGAGCTGCAGTCAGTATGGCCAGAGGCTTGGAGGCCAGGGAGCTGCAGTCAGCGTGGCCAGAGGCCGGGAGGCCAGGAAGCTACAGTCAGCGTGGCCAGAGGCTGGGGAGCCCAAGGGCATAAGTAGAGAACAAGCTGTTACAGGAAGTTAGATGTTGTCCCCTGCAGCCCCAAGCAGGCTCTTCTGGCCTTTTCTGTCAGAGGAAGGAAGGCAGTAGGCAGTTTATCTGGGCTTTCTTGTGGAAGAAGAGAGGGACACAGCATAGACAGCCCCCTAACCACGTGGAATTGGGGTGCATCAAAAGGCTGAAACCCAAGAATGATCATTAATGGCTCAACATCAATGTGGCACAAGGTCTCCGGTGGGGGGCCACAGGGATCTGTGCTTGGATAAAGGCATGACCGCCACGCTCGGCAGATCTGCAGACCACACAAATCGGGAGACGCGACCACCCACCAGCAGCCTGGAAACTTGGCAAGTGAGAACTCAGGGCCAAATCTGACAAGACGAAATTTAAGAGGGATAAATGTAGAAATCAAGCCCCCAACCACAAGCTGGCAGAGGCCTGAGAGAGGGTGGTCAGACCAAGCAAGGCTTGGGAGCCAAGCCGACCTCGGGCTGCCTTCAGCAAGGCATAGACAACCTGGAGAGAAGCCGAGTGCCCCTGCTCCAGGCCCTGAGGGGACAGTGGGAAGGAGTCAGACACTCAGTCCTGGAGAAGGTCCCAGATGGCTCCCTCTCAGCAGCCCACTCTGAGCCAGCGGCCCCTCCAGCCAGCAGCTCGTCCAGTCCACAGACTGTCCAACCCACGGCCCATCTAGCCAGCAGCATGTCTAGCCCACAGCCTGTCTAGCCCACGGCCCATTCAACCCATAGCCTATCCAGCCAGCAGCCCATTCCCAGCCAGCGGCCTGTCCAGCCCGCGGCCTGGCCTTCTCCATTCCCTCTCCCCTTCTCTCCTTTGCCCTGCAGTCTGGCCGGGCGATGTTCCTGGCCAGTCTCCAGGCTTCCGGCCTGTCCGCTCTTCACACCGTGGTCCACAGCTGTCTTCCCCAGCACAGGCCTGAGCCCGGGGCTGCAGCAGGCTGAAGCGGACAGACTTTGTGTGAAGGCTGGACACAGGAACCAGGGAGGTCATGTTGGTGGAAAGGCCACTGAGACGTTACAGGATCATCCTTCTGCCCCACTGCTGACCCCTGAGGACCTTCAACTGACCCGCCACCAGGCGTGGTCCCCCTCAGTGGACAGTGAGCTCCCCAGACGGCTGCTGCCTGGGGTGTCTGGGATTCCCAGGGCCTAGCCCAGGGCCCAGCACTTTGGGAATGCTTAATAAAAGCTCACTCCTCCACTCAGCCTCCAGGCTGGCCTAATACTTACCTGGCAGAGTCCACTCATCTGCCCTGCTCTCACCCAAGGCCCCAAAGTCTTCTGCTGCTCCCCCTGCCTCGAGGCTAAAGCAGTCTGTCTGCAGCCTGGTCTTTTGGGCTTCCTTTCCAGGCTGCTCCCTCCTCCAAGGCTCAGCTCAGGGACCATCTCCTCCATGCTGCCTCCCCCACCCCCTGAAGCACTGGACTGGCTCTCTCTCCTGCCTCAGATCACCACAAATCACCAAGGGTCATCTGTCTCCATGGTGACTCCCCAGGAGAATGCAGGCTGAAGGCCAGAGGCTGTTTTACAAGCTAGCATGATGCAGGGCACACAACGGGTGCCTAATTAATGGTGGTTACATTGACCTAAGCTGCCTCAGCAGGGAGGGTGGCCCCAGACACCCTGCTTGCCGCTGACCTTGGTGCTGATGCCCTACCTAGGGACACAGGGCACAGTAATGTGTCTGGCCCTTCCTGCTCAGGCTCCTGCTCCCTGCCCTGACAAGTCTCAGGCCCATTGCTGAAGTCTGCAGCCTTCCCTCCTCCAACCTGCTGAGATAGGCTGGGCCTCCTCTGCCTCCACCCTCCTCCCACCGGGCCAGAGTGTGGGTTGGCCCTGTCAAGAGCCGAGGCTGACATCACTGTCCTGGGAACTACTTTCCCCTCTGTCCCTGAGGCCAAGCACCGCCCCCCCAGGCCTCTGAAGACAAGCCCAGTGGCCCGCAGCACCGACATTCTGTGGTACTGGCCTCTGGTGTTCTGACCTCAGTTGGGCCCTCGCTGCTACTTGGTGATCATTCCACACCGCCCTTATCAACTCACTCCCCATTGGCTCCTGCAAACCTCCTCATCCCTCCTCAAACCTTCCATGGCACCCCCTCTCCCTTCCTCCTCCTCCTCATCTCCCATCACTCAGGTGTCAGCATCTCCCCTCACGACAAGGGGGCCTCACTCTTCACCAAGGAGACCCCTCCTTCTGCTCAGAGCCTTTCATAACAGGCCCCGCCCTCCTTACACTGACCAAGCCAGCCTGGCCTCCAGCTGCCATCCACCTCCAGATTTCCTCCTTCCTTCCCTCTCCCTCCCCCCCCCCCCCCCCCCCCCCCCCACCCCCTCCCAATTACTGGGCCTTCTGGCTGGGATCAGCTTTCAGGGCCCCTGCCTACAGCTCAGCTGCCCAGTTATTGGCACATCATCTCCCCAATTCAAGTGCAAGCTCCCTGAGGGCAGAGCCTGTGCCTTTGCCTAGCTTTGTATCCTCAGGGCTCAACACAGGGCCTGGCACGCAGAGGTCTCCTTCAAGGCTTAATGACTGAAGACTGACCTCCTGGGATGCAGGGAACGTTGGTCTCACCCTCCCAACACTGAAAGGTCCACCCCTTCACTTTACAGATGGGGAAACTGAGGCCCAGAGAGATAACCACAAAACATGCCCTGTGTCTGGCAGTCTCCCTTCCAAGCTGGATGTTCCCACCCAGGCCTGCTCTGCAGGAGGGGTGGGCCTGCCCGTCCCCTTCTCCCCTGTGCCCAGGGCGGAGCAGGGATAGCCATCTCCATCACTGACCCCACTGTGCCCATTCCCCTCTCCTCCATGCCCCTGGCGAGGCAGGGGTGGCCGTCTCCATCACTCACCCCACTGTGCCTGTCCTCTGCTCCTGGCACGCAGCTCGCACCTGCCTGTGGAAGTGGTCCTTGAGCTGAAGGCAGGCCTCAGGCGTGTACCACTGCAAAGACACAGAGATGCAGGTCGCTGAGCAGCGTAGGAGGGAGGGCAGGTAGGCAGCTGGCACCCAGGAGGATGGTGGGCGAAGGCCTGGCCCAACGGTGCCCACAGCGAGCACCCCGGCCAGAAATCTCTGGTCCCTGCTTGGAGCCCTCCCCCCAGAGTCTGCCTCCAGGGTCCCCCAAGTCCCCAAAGGGCTAAGACAGGGGCGGGAAAGCCCCTCCCCCTGCAGGGCTGGGTCTCCTTCCTAGGGCTCAGGGATTGGCATCATTCCCTCCAGCTCCAAGAGGAAATGACGAAGCCCAGAAAAATCCTTTCTAAAGCTTGGGAACTCAGGGCCTTTTGCAGTCCAGATGCCAACATATGGTGCTGACCCCTGTAACAAAGTGCTGACCTATAACCTGTGTGAGGCACTTCCAGCGTGGGACTGCCCTGCATCCATGCAGAGACATGAAGAGACTCTTTACTCTGGGCTTCCCTGGGCCCAGACCCTCCCCAGTCGCTCTCGGCTCGGTCGTACCTGGGGCCCTCCGGCGGCCCTCGTTCCAGATGCCTCCTGCCATGACTGAGCCTCCCCACACCACAGGGCATCCTGGCCGTGTTCGCCTGTGCCAGATGGCCCATGTCGCTGGGTCAGGAGGAAGGGGCAGGGCCTGCTGCCCAGGCCCAGGGAAGATGTTCGCTGCCCACACTGGGCCGCTGGCTCTCAGGTCCCTTGTCCCCAACACACGGGCCCTTCCATCATCTGGTCCCTTCCCTGCTGCCCACAAATGCCCCTTCACTGGACCTTCTCTCTCCTCACTCCTCCCAGCTAGTCTCTGCTGGACAGCTCCCGACCTCTTCTCTCACTCAGCAGGTCCCTTCCCTGCCCTGGGTGGAGACCACGTGTGCCCCTGCTTGGTCAGGGGAGGCTGTGCCCTCAAAGAAGTGGGGGGGGGCCCAAGAGGTGGGGATGAGAAAGGGGAGCACGCCTGGCCCAGGGGCCAATGACCTCCGCAGGAGATAGACTAAGACTGGAGGTCAGTAGGAACCAGACTGCCCAGGGCTGTCAGGCAGGCCCTGGAGGCCACAGGGAGCCATGGGAGGTTCCTGAGCAGGGGATGACATGGTCAGATCCCTGCCATAGGAAGATCACTTTGGTGGCTGAAGTGGGGACACTGAGGCAGGCAGACCACCATCAGCATCTGGTGCAACAGTCCAGGCGTGAGGCGATGAGGGTCTGCACGGATGGCGGTGGGGTCAGAGGAGAAAGGAATTTCCCGTATTTGAGAGATGAGATGGAAGGCAAGGAAGCATAAGGGCCTGGGAGGACATGGGTGCCCTCGATGGCGAGACGAGGTGGTGGCACGCCGAGTGTGAGATGACGACGGGCCGTCAGGCAGACAGAGGGTTCTGGGGGCTGGCAGCTACCACGGCAGGTGGCCTGGTCCGCGGGGAGCCCGAAGGACAGGGAAGGGAGGAGGGAAGGGGGGAAGGAGGGCCCAGGCAGAGGGTGGCCCTAAGCAGGGGCCATACCTTGGGAAAGTCAGAGATGATTCGGTCTCGGCCGACGGGAGGCGCCAGGACCATCAGGTTGGATTCCATCCTCACCAAGACCCTGTGAGACACAAAGCAGAGAGTGGAGGAAGCCGGAGGGGCAGAGGGTCGAACCGCTTATGCCCAGGGGCACGAACACGCTGACCCTCCTTGCCGGAAACCTAAGGAAGAGGTCAGGGAGAGAGGCAGATCCGGCCAACAAGCTGGCCAGCCCTGGGGGTGCTGCCCAGAAAGGTCATCGAAGGTCTGGACCCAGAACAGAGCCAGGCCACGGAGCGAGATCAGTACACAGAAGGATCAGGAAATGGAGGCCAGACCGCACGCATGGAGGACGTCGGGGCATCCTCCAGCCGCTGGCCCGTGCCCGCCCCTCCTCAGAGCCGCAGGCCCGATACAACCCGGCCAAAACGGCCCCCTCCACCTCGGTGGGGGCCCCGCCCTCCGGAGGCTGGCACCTTCCCTCCTCCCAGGCACCAGCTGCCCCCTCCCCCCTTCAGTCTCTCTCTGCTCACAGGCCTCAGCCCCTCCCAGCCTCCCACCTCCAGGCTCCAGGCCTCTTTCCACTGGGTCTGTTGGGGATTTAAGGTAAGACTTGACGAGGACAAGAGGAGGGGGAGGGGAACGAGGATTTAGCAAGCACCTCCTGTGCATGCCAGGACCTGGGTGTGCTGACTGCTTGTTACAAACAGGATCTCCTGGGATCCTCACAACCACCCTGCTATTATGATCCCCATTTTACAGATGAGGAAACTGAGGGGGGCAGGGGTTAAGTGACTTGCCCAGGGTCACACAGCTAGTGAGTGTCAAGTGTCTGAGGCCACATTTGAATTCAGGTCCTCCTGTCTCCAGGGCTGGTGCTCTATCCACTGTGCCTGCCCCTGGGTGGTTTTTAAAAGGAAGAAATTAAAAGAAGAAATGAGGTCAAAAGGTACAGAAGTGAATAAGGAAAAGCCTGACCCATCATCAGGGAGAACTTTGGGTCCAGAGGGCACAGAGGAGGACAGCTTGGAGGCAGCACCGCGGGGAAGCAGGCACAGCGCCGCGGGCATCGCTGAGACTGGAGGCCACCAGCCCCCCTTCCTGAGGAGTCACGCTCAATTAGTGGCCAACTCACAATGAGCAAAGACGGCCCCCAGTCCTAATAACCAGAGAACAGCCCACTGAGGCAGCCCGACGCTTCCCTCCCTGTGTGCCCTGCGCAGGGGCTGGGCGCAGTGGCCAGGTGCCTACTCTGGATGGCTGGGCAGGTAGGGCAGAAGAGAGGGATCTATTTCGCAGTGAAAACAAGGTGAGAACAAATCACAGGAGAAGGAGGGAAGCTGAGGGCCGCTGGGTTTAATTAACGCCAATTAGGAACAGAAACAGGCAGCAACAGCCCGCCAGGCTTGCCATAGTGGCTGTCCGAGGAGGCCGGAGACAGGGGAGAGGCCCCAGAGACCCCCTAGAGGTCGGCCCTTCTGTGGGAGCCACGTTCCGGGCCAGGGCGGCCTCCCAGGGCAGCGAGGGGACCCAGAACCAACCAGGTGGTGCCAGAAGGCGTGATTAGGGGGCTCCAGACGACTAGCTGCTAAGGGCCTTCTGCCCCTTGTTAACTGGAGGGGCCACCGTGACTTCAGAGGACCCATGGGGAAGCAGGCTCCATGCTGGGTAGAGAGGCGGTGGCCCACAGGTGCAGAGTCTCAGAAGCACTGCGTCTGAGGCACTTCATCAAACCCAGGCCCCGCTGGAATCCCGCTGGAAAGCATGCAGCAATGGGTCCTGCAGCCTCTGCTCCAAGAGCACAGCTCCTCCCCAGGCAGCCCCAATAGCCCCCTGCCCCCTTGTTCCTGATCCCGCCTCCCCAGGAGAACTGCCCTGCTCTGACACCTCTCCTTGCCAGGCCAGTCTGGCCAGGATCTCCAGATACCCTCTGGTAGATCAGCATCCTCCTTCACCTGCGGTGCCCAGAACCAAACAGGACACAGGAAGGAGGTCAGACGAGGGCACAGGAGCGGGGACTGCCTCCCCCTGGAAGCCTTCCCTTCCCAGGACCTCCAAGGTCTCCTCAGCTGTTCTGGCTGAAACATCCCTCCGCTGACACCACAGACAACTCGAAGAGCCAACATCTGTCCAAACCTCCACCATCTTACGTGTGCAGCACTCAGTTTTTGTTTGTTTGCTTTCTGCTTTTTGGTGAGGCAGTCAGGGTTAAGTGACTTGCCCAGAGTCACACAGCTAGTTAGTGTCAAGTGTCTGAGGCTGCATTTGAACTCAGGTCCTCCTGACTTGAAGGTTGGAGCTTAATCCACTGCACACCCAGCTGTCCCTCAACAGTGAGTTTTTGTACCCAAGGGCGAGACTTTACCTTGAGACCCGCTGAATCCATAATCCCACCTGGCATTTCTTTCAGAACCCAAGGATATAAAGAGTTCACCTGGGCAGAGGACTGGAGCTCCTACTCCCTCCTTACTCATTTGGGGTATTAACTCCCTGTCACGTGAGTCATTTTTGTTCTGCCACATCCAGGACATAGGTCCTTCTGCTTTGTGGAGAAAACAGAAACAAAACAATCATTGGACAGCTCCACCCTCTCTCTGCTGTCAGTGATCCCTGTCCCAATTCACTCCAGCAAAGGTCCTAGTCTTTCTCTGAAGCTCCCCTGTCCACCAAGAGATCTCCTTGCCACATCCCTTGCATTTCGGCTCACTCTGAGCTCTAGCGCCCCTGGGCCTGGAATCAGGAAGACCTAAGTTCAAATCCAGGCTCAGACACTTTGTAGCTGTGTGACCCTAGGCAAGTCACTTAACTTGTGTTTACCTCAGTTTCCTCACCTGTAATATGGGGATAAGAACAGCACCCACCTCCCAGGGCTGCTGTGAGGAATAAGTAAGCTAATAATCATAAAGCACTCAGTAAAGTGCCGGGCACATCGCAGCACTATATAAATGTCAGTCACTATTATTATTACAGGACCAGGCCATGCTCCCATATCTGTCTTCTGTTCCCTGGCTCAAGGGCATCTTACATTCTTTTTAACATTTTGCTTGGAGAGTTCACTGTGCAGCCACATCAGTCTCTTCAGACAAATCTCATTTTTCCTCATTGGAATTATTTCTCTGAGTCTTCAGCACTTCACTCCATGCCTCCTGGGCTGACCTTCCCTGAAGCAATGTACAGCCTGAGATCCCATCTGTCTTTCCTTTAGAAGCAGCTGGGACAGAGCACTGGACCTGGAGTAGGAAAACCTGACTGTCTGGCCTCAGACACTTCCTAGCTGTATGACCCTGGGGCAAGTCACTTCACTTCTGCCTGCCTCAGTTTTCTCAACTGTAAAATTACAATAGCACCTACTTCCCAGGGTCATTTTGAGGAACAAATGAGATATTTGTAAAGCGCTTAGCACTGTGCTTGGCACAGAGCAGACAGTTAAGAAATACCCATTTTCTGAGCGTGGAGCCAAGATGGTGGAGTAAAAGCAGTGACTTGCTTGAGCTCTCCCCCAAACTTCTCCAAATACCTATAAAAAATGGCTCTAAATAAATTCTAAAGCAGCACAACCCAGAAAAAGACAGAGTGAAACAAATTTCCAGCCAAAGACAGACTGGATGGTTGATCAGAAAGGTATATCGCGCCAGGCTGGGAGAGGAGCGCATGCCGCAGTGACCCTGGAGCAGGCCTCAGAGGACTGAATCGCAAGCACCTGTTGCGGTTTCCAGACTTCTCAATCCATGAACACCAAAGACAACTTAGAAGGTCAGTGGGAAAGTCTGTTTCTGCAGTGCTGAAAGAGAAGCTTGGGGTCCCAGCCCCATTTACTGGGGCAGCGGCAGCCTCCTGAGCTTCCAGCCCACAGATTGAGGGGGAATCGAGTGGCTGATCAGAGGGAGATTGCAGGGATCTCCCTGTGGGTGCAGGATTCTCTTGCTTTGCCCGTGCTTGGATCTGAGTCACAGTTCTGGGTGGCGGTCCTGGGGCGATGAGGAGCTCTGGCGTGGGGGAGCTTGTAGCGGCTGTGGGGATGAAACCCTCCTCACAGTTCCAAGACACAAAAGAGTGCTCATAGACCAGAGCACAGGCCAGGAAAGGAGTAAACACCCCACCCTTGATCATAGCACATTGGAAGAACTAAAAATTTACAGGTCCCTAGAAGTATCTCTGAACACAGCTGCACAAAACCCCTGAAGCTTGGGACAGTACATTCTCCACACTGGAAACGGACTCCTAATGCAACAAAGAGTTTATAACTCAAGTAATTGGCCGGGATCATGAGCAAGCAGCGCAAAAAGAGTCAGACTATGTTATCTTACTTTGACGACAAAGAAGATCAAAACACACAACCAGAAGAAGACAATGAAGCCAAAGCTCCTACACCCAAAGCCTCCAAGAAAAATATGAATTGGTCCCAGGCCATGGAAGAGCTCAAAAAGGATTTTGAGAAGCAAGTAAGAGATGTAGGAGAAAAACTGAGAGTGATGCTAAAGGAGACCCCCAAAAATACTGAAGAAAACAACACCTTAAAAAATAGCCTAACCCAAATGACAAAAGAGGTCCAAACAGCCAATGAAGAGAAGAATGCCCTAAAAAGCAAAATTGGCCAAATGGAAAAGGAAATCCAAAAGCTTACTGAAGAAAATACTTCCTTAAAAATTAGAATGGAATAATTGGAAGCTAGTGACTTTACAAGAAATCAAGGCACTGTAACACTAATCCAAAGGAATGAAAAAATAGAAGAGAATATGAAATATCTCATTGGAAAAACAACTGACCTGGAAAATAGGTCCAGGAGAGAGAACTTAAAAATTATTGGACTATCTGAAAGCCATGATCAAAAAAAGAACCTAGACATCATCTTTCAAGAAATTATCCAGGAAAACTGCCCTGATATTTTAGAACCAGAGGGCAAAATAGAAATTGAAAGAATCCACCGATCACAAAGGAAAACTCTTAGGAATGTTGTAGCCAAATTCCAGAATTCCCAGATCAAGGAGAAGATATTGCAAGCAGCCAGAAGGAAACGATTCAAGTATTGTGGAAACACAATCAGGATTTAGCAGCTTCTACATTAAGGGATTGGAGGGTATGGAGTATGATATTCTGGAGGGCAAAGGAGATAGGACTACAACCAAGAATCACCTACCCAGCAAAACTGAGTATAATCCTTCAGGGTAAAAAATAGTCATTCAGTGAAATAGGGGACTTTCAAGCATTCCTGTGGAAAAGACCAGAGCTGAATAGAAAATTTGACCTTCAAATACAAGACTCAAGTGAAACATGGAAGAGGTAAACAGGAAAGAGAAATCATAAGAGACTTACTAAGGATGAACTGTTTACATTCCTGCAGGGAAAAATGATATTTGTAATTCATGAGTCCTCTATCAGTATTAGGGTAGTGGGAGGGAAAAAAATTATATGTATGTATAGATAGATAGAGGGCACAGGGTTAATTGAGGATGAGGGGGTGATATCTGGAAAATAAAATTAAGGGGTGAGAGAGTATTATACTGAGAGAAAGAGAAAGAGAGAAGTAGAATGAGGTAAAATACCTCACATGAAACAGACAAGAAAAGGCTTTTACAGTGGAGGGGAAATGGGGGAAGGTGAGAGGGAATGAGTGAATCTTATTCTCATAGGATTTGGCTTAAGGAGGAAATATACACAATGGGATATGGAAATCTATCTTATCCTACAGGAAAATAAGGGGGGAAGGGGACAAGAGAGCAGGGGGTTGATAGGGGAGAGGGCAGATTGGGGGAGGGGATAATCAAAAGCAAACACTTCTGAAGAGGGACAGGGTCAAAAGAGAGAATAGAATAAATGGTGGGTAGGATAGGACAAAGGGAAATATACTTAGTTTTTCAAAACAAGACTCCTATGAAAGGGTTTTGCATGACTACACATCTATACCTGTATGGAGATGCTTGCCTTTTCAATGAAGGTGGGTGGGGAGGGAGGAAGGGAGAAAATTTGTAACCCAAAGTTTTAAAAACACACGTTAAAAATTAAAAAAAAGAAATACCTATTTTCTTCTTTACTTCATCTGAACTCACTGCAATCTGCTTTCCCCAAATCAGGGGTGCACGTCAGACCCCTCTTTTTCATCACAAACTCCAGAAGCAGTTCTCAAAGCACAGTTCGAATCTGGCCTCCAACGCTTCCTTAGCTAGGCAAGTCTCATCTCTGCTCCCCGCCTCAGTTTCCCCAAAGCCGGAGTGCTCAGGGCACCTCAGTACACCTAGAAGGGCGCTGTGCAGGCTGGGGGAGGGGGGGAGAAGTACCTCGCTCTCTGTGAACGTGCACAGCGACGGATTCCCACCCCAACCCTAAATGTCGATGGAAGGAGGCCCCCCCCACCCCGGTTTGGATAACTGAAGTCCGGTCTGCAGAACTGAGGTCCCCAGCACCATCGCCCTCTCCCCTGCATCCCCGGAGATCTACCCCGTCCTTTTAGCAAGAAGGTAGGCCCAGCCTGCCATCAGCCAACAAGGACTGGGCCTGCAAACCAGGGGCCGCTCCACCCCGTCCCCAAAGTCCCTTCCACCCGGACCCCAGCCGAGGGCAGGAGGGTGGGGCCACTTACCCAGGCTGCCCCGTCCGGCCAGCGGAGCAAAGCCCGAGGGATGCTTAGCTTCACCATAGCAACTGGAGGACAAGCTCAGGGTGTGCCTCCCAAGCTCGCGGGGGGGGGGGGGGGGAAGAGAAGAGCCCGCGCCTGCGCACTTGGAGGGGAAGGAGGGGCACCTTGTTTGTGTAGCTGACGGAGTATGCGGCTGAGGGCTGCGGAGCCCTGGGGGCGGGGCATGCACCGGCCACGTGATCGGGGAGCCTTGAAACCCTGGCACACCCAGGAACGAGTACAGCTTTTGGCCGGGCGGGGCCACCCTGGCATTTCTGCTCTCTGGGCCCCCCCCCTGCAGTCACCATGTCTCCCCCACAGATCCCCCCATTTCTATTCTGCGGCCCCACTGCAGGCACCATGCCTCCCCTACCCCCATTTCTGTTCTTGGCCCCCCCTGCAGGCACCATGCCTCTCTGGGCCAGAAGAGCCTAACCAAGGGGAGCTGGGCCCAGCAGGCGGCCAGGAAGGGGGCCCATGTGTGCTAGGCCAGGCAGGAAGCAGGTGCCCTGGCTCCTTTTCTCTTTCCAGTTCACTGGCCCATGGCCAAGGAGAGAGGCAGGCTCTGGTGGGTGTTGGAGCCCCGCTGACGGTGTCTCCTGGACTCAGAACCCCCCAGTCTGTGCCCAACCCAACGGGCAGACCCTCACCGGGTCACTGGGCTGGGTGAGCTGTGGGATGGGCACTGGTGGGCCCTGAGCTCTTTCCAGCCTCAATCTGGAGGGAGGGAGGCCCAGAATGCTCTGTGGTGTGGCACGCAGTGGGCAGGACCCCCCCCAGAGTCCCAGACCCCATCAATGCCGAGGGCATCCTGAGATTCCCCAGAGTGGCCTTTTATTCAGGGGCTGCTGGGCAGGAGGCAAATGTTGGACGTGTGGGGCTTTCTCAGTATTTGGTGCCAGGAGTTGGCTCTGGGGACAGGCCAGGGTTGGAAGGGTCTGAGGGCAGCCTGTGCCCTCGGGAGCTCCCTGCCGAGGAAGAGAGCAGGGGCCCACAGAGACCTTGGAGAGGTCAGGAGAAACGGGGGGCTTAATCCAGTGGTGGGACCTTAAAGAGAAGGAGGGTCTGAGGGTGGCTGAGGGATTCTTGGCACTCAGGGGTCATGGCTGGAGGGAACAACGGGGCAGAGAGGAAGCCCCTGGCAGCAGAGTGGGAGGGTTTTCACAGGAAACAAGGCAAGAAAGAGATGGCAGCCTCACTGTGGAGGCTTTGGGGGCAATGGGGAGCTATGGGAGTTTCTGGAGCAGGGCACCAATAGGGTCAGACCAGAGCTGGAGGAAGGCTATTTGGGTCAACCAGGGGTGGGCCAGGAGGGGGACAGACAGGGAAGTCATTGCAACAATCCAGCTAAAAGGCATGAATGGGAAGATAGAAGGGGGTGGTTCTGAGGAATGCTGCAGAGGTGAACTCAGCAGGCCATGGAACCATATTGGATCTGGGGGTGAGAGAGTCCAGGACAAGTCTGAGATAGGGAGCCCGAGGGCTGGGGGTGCTACAGGGCCTGGGGGAGGCCCAGACATCAGAAGGGAGGTAGGAGGTAAATTCTGCAGGCCTTGGCACCACGTTGGATCTGGTGGCCGAGAGACAGTGAGGAGTCCAGGATGAACCCTAAGCTGGGAGCCTGAGGGCCTGGGAGGGGATGCCCTCGACAGTGACAGGGAAGTGGTGAGGCAGAGTTGGGGGAAAGATGATGAGCTCTGTTTTGGACATGTTGGGTGTAAGACGTCTGCTGGACATCCAGTTGGAGATGTCTGAGAGGCAGCTAGAGATGTGAGACAGCGGTCAGCAGAGAGGTCAGGGTAGAAGAGGCAGATTTGAAAGTGATCAGCACGGAGAAGGTCATTCAATCCATGGGGGCTGATGGGATCACCCAGAGCAGCGGGACAGAGGGAGAAGAGCAGAGGGCCCAGGACCAAGCCCTGGGGACGTCCATGGTTAGACGGCCTGGTCTGGAGGAAGATGGAGATGGAGAAGGAGGAGGAGAACCTGGAGAGGTGGGCTGGAAGGTTGTGGTCCTGAAGACTGAGAGAAAGGAGAGTATCCAGGAGGAGGGAGTGGTCACCAGTGTCCAAGGCTGCAGAGGCCAAGGAGGCTGAGGATGGAAATGAGGCTGTTGGGTTTGGCAGCTAAGAGCTCATCGGTCATTTTGGAGAGGGCAGCTTGAGCAGCCGGAGGTCAGGAGCTGGATGGCTGGGCTTCAGGAGAGAGCAGGAGGAGAAGGAGGGGCAAACAGCTATGGCGGACAGGTTTTTTGAAGAGACGGTTACAGGGTCACACAGCTAGTGAATGTTGAACTCAGCGAGGTGGGTCTCCTGACTTCAGGCCTGGCACTTGATCCACGGCACCACCCTGCTTCTAGTGGATTATTACCTTGCTATAAGAAATGATGACCATGATAAATATTGAGATGCAAGACACATGAACTGATGCAGTGAAGTAAGTAGAGTCAGGAAAACAATGCACACAATGACAATCATGTAAGTAGAAAGACCAACCACCACAAACTAGTTTATGCAGAGTGTTGTAAGATAAAAACCAAGCATGGCCTCAAAGAAGAGATGTGAGAAGACACCTCCCCTTTACCAAAGCAGACCACAAGTATGAAACACAATATATAAATTCAGATGTTTTCAAAAAGAAAAAAAGAAGAGATAGTTAAGGGGGTCAAGGGGGATGGGGTGGGGGTGGTAGAAAGGTCAGGATGGAAAAGGGGGGCGAGGGAGGAAGCTCCAGCCCATTAGAGGAGGAGAGGGAAGCCAGGTAGATATGGGCAGCGGCTTCAGGGCTGGCCCCCCAGCAATGTCCTCTAGGGGGAGCCCTAGATGCTGGCTAGGCAACAGGGAAGGAGCTAGCCGGCAAGGATGGAAGGGCTGGAGCTGCTAGTGATGGCCCATGAAGGAACCAGCGGGTGAGGATTGAAAAGCCAAGGCTGGCAGTGAGAGCCCAGGCTGGGTGAGGACCCAGGGGCAGGGCCAGAGCCAGAGCTGGCATGGAGGGCCCAGGCCACAGAGGCTCTGGCTGTGGGACGGCTGCTAGAAGCTGTAAGACACAGAGCAGTAATAGTCAGCGTCATCCTCCGGCTGCACAGGTGAGATGGTCAGGATGCAGGCGTTCTGTGCCGTGTCCTTGGAGGCCGAGAAGCGCTGAGGGAGCCCAGGTAGCCGGTCCTGCTCTTCCTCCGAGTAATAGTAGAGCAGGAACCGAGGAGCACTGCCCGGATACTGCTGGTACCAGGAGACCCCGTGGTCGCGGATGGCAAAGTCCGGCTTCAGGGCACACAGCAGGTTGGCGGTCTGCCCGGGAAACACCAGGAGGGCATCAGGCTGGGTGGGCCCCGGATGGGGGTCTGGGGGAGACACAGATGCTCTCAGGGCTGGGTGGGCCCTGGGTGGGGGTCTGGGGGAGACACAGATACTCTCAGGGCTGGGTGGGGGTCTGGGGGATCACGAATGCTCTTGGGGCCAGACCATCACTCCCTTGGCCAGCAGATGCGGGCTGGGGAGGCCCCCTTCCTGGCCCCAGACGCTCCCATCTCAGGGTGCAGCCCTCCCCCTCCCCCTCCCCCTCAGCATCTTCCTTCCTGCCTCCCAACCAGGAGCCCCAGGGAGGTTCTAGGGGTCGGCCCTCTAGGGAGCCTAGCCGGGCTGGCGTCACAGGTGTGGGGAAGCTTGAGCGGCCACAGCTCTGCTTCGACCCCCTCCCTCGGCACTGTTCTCCAAGAGCTGCCCCTCCCCCCTCCCCTCCCCCCTCCCAGAGGTCCCTGGCCCCAAAGGCTCGTCACCATCTTGTCTCTTGGCTTCGGGCAGCGTGTCATCGTCCCCCCAACCCAGCTGGGGATCTTGGTCACTGAGTCCCAGTAGACCATGACCAGCGGGCACTCGGCCTCCCCGAGCATCTTGAACACTGCCGGTGATAAGGAGCTCACTGCCTTCCCAAGCTGATCCATTCCTCTCTGGCACGCTCTCACTGTTAGATCTTTGTCTGCGATCCAGCCTAATGGGCCCCTTCACCCCTTCCGCCCGTTCCTTCAGGGGCCCGATCCCTCTGGCACAGCTGCCAGATTGGCCCCATATCCTGTATGTGTCTTCTCCAAGCTAAACATCCCGCTTCCTTCCCCCAGCCCCCCTCAGCCTCAGACCCCTCTCCAGCTTTGGAGGCGGCCCTCTCCTGGACCATCCGTCTCATTCAGCACAGACGGAGGTGCCCAAAAGTGATTGGAAGCCTCCCAGTGGGGCCTGAGCGGCCCAGAGTCCAACGAGACCTGCGTCTCCTCATGCTACCATGCTACCGAGCCATCTAACTTTGGGGCTGCTACCTCCCTCGCAGCTCCCAAGGAGCATGCAGCCCACTCAGACCCTCAGATCTTTTTCAGGATAACTGATGGTCATCCAGGCTTCCCCACCAGTGCCGAGTGAGGCTGCCCAAGGATGAGGGTTGACAGATGCCCATGGAACGCAGATTCAGCCTGTCCTGACCCTGTCCCCAGGCGGTGTGTTGACCGCTCCCCTCCCAGCCCTGGGCGGTGCCCCCGGCCACCAGCCCTTAGGCCCCAGACCTAGTGCAGCCAGAAATGCCAGTGGGAGAGGTGGCTGGCTGAGGGCCTTTGGCCTGAGCCCCACAGCTTCATCGGGGCTGAAAAGGAGGAGGCCTACTCCGCTAGTTCTCCCCCAATCCCTACATGACCCTGGACAAGGCCCTTTGCCTCTCTGAGCCTCAGTTTCCTCTTCTACAAAATGAAGGGGTCAGACCGCATGAGCTATAAGGAACCCTGACCCACATGGAGCCAGACCCAGGAGCCTCTGGGGGATCCCCCTCCTCCTGTTCCCCAAAGAGAGGGTCACTCACTTGCCAGGAGGGTTGCCACAGCGTTGGCCAACAGCAGAGCCAGCAGGTAGGGGGTCATGGCTGTCAGGGAGGCTGAGCAGGTTGGGCCTGTCTGAGCCTCCTGGGGCAGCCTTGGGACTGAGCTGGGGCCCCTCCCACCCCCAGCTGCCCCAGAAGTCTAGCCTGGCCAGCCACCACAATGCATGCAAATAAGATGGGGAAGTGGAGGCAGGCACAGGCCCAGACCGAGCTAGGAAGGGGACCTTCCGTGAAAGACAGGGCTGGGGGCCCAAAGCAGGGCCCCAGGAACTCTCCTCCCTCAAGGGAAGCCAGGCCCTCACCAGGCCCGCCCAGACTGGAAGGGGGAAAGCTCAGGCTCTGGAGATTCACAGGGCCTTTCTGATCACGTCGGTAAGGAGCCTGCTGGCCCTGCCTTCTCTCCAGTCACCCTCCATCCACCAAACATTTATCCTGCACCAGGGATGGGGACTCAGGCACAGCAGACAGATGGCCCCCGTCCTGGAGGACAAAGGCCCCCCAGAGAATGTGCATGCTGGGAGGGGAGGGTGCTCCCCATGGGAGGAGGTGCTATCAGACCTGAGCCTCAGAGGCTGCTGGAGTCTTGGGGTGACATGTTCCCCTTGGCATCCTGGGATGCACAGAACAGCAGCTAAGGAATCAGAGCCTGGGTGGGTGGAACTCCCTTCTGCCTCCTATGACCGTTCCGGATGCTGTTGTTGTGAAGCAAGCATTTATTAAACACCTACTGTATGCCAGGCAGTCTTGCTAAGCACTTGACAATTATGCTCATATTTCGAGGTAGATGGTATATTTTATAAAGAGAGGAAACGGAGGCAGGCTGCAGTGAAATGACTCATCCAGGCTCACCGAGCTAGGAAGGGTCTGACCAGCTCCCATCACCTTCCCCAGGGCTCTTCTCTGACTTGGTTGGAAAGAGTCCTTCCCTTTGGGGCAAGCCTTCTTAGCAGCCTGCACAACCTCCGACCAGAACCAGAACAGCAGCGGAGCCGGCGTGCGGCTCTGGGTGCCTGCCTCCAGTCCTACCAAGAATGATGCAGCGGTCTTTACGCCCCGCCCACTGAGGTTTGGGCGTGGCCTTCCTAGGTCTTGTGCTCTGAGATCTCTGAGGACAGAGGGACTGCAGCTCCTCGTGCCCGGTATGTCTCCAAGTCCAGCGAGGGTCAGGGGAAACTAGTCTTCGAGCTCGTCATCGGCCCGAAGAAGGCTGAAGGAAATAGACGGCGGTCCAGCGGGTCCCCACCCCCAGGTGACAGAGCCCTGCTCCGGTGTCTTGGCATCGGTGGAACGGGCATGGCCCTGGCCAGTGGAAGAGGCCGGGCAGCTCGCCGTTGCCAGAGCGGCCACCAAGATGGCGGATGAGACTGGAATTCTTCCAGTGAGGCTTGGAATCAGCCCAGGCGTGGGGAGGGCGACCAGACCCTAGCGCCAACGCCGCCCCACGCAACGCGTGTCTCGAGCTTGTCCTCACACGCACCCCGTTAGTTCACGTCTAGTAAAAGCCAGGCGCCGCGAGGCTCCCTTTGCTGGGTCCAGGTCCCGGTCCCGGTCTCCGGCCAGCTGTGGTCATTATAGCTTGGGTGTCACAGGCTTGGAGGTCTGCCACCATGGAAGAGGCCTGTGGAGGGCATTGGGCTTTTTCCTCCATGGTATTTTTTCCCAATCACATGTAAAGAGTTTTCAACATTCATTTCTGTAAGATTCTGAGTTCCAAATCTTTCTCCCTCCCCTCCCCCCTCCGCCTCCCCAAGACGGCTTGCAAACTGATAAAGGCCATACACGTTATCATGTTAAACATATTTCCACATGAGCCATGCTGTGAAAGAAGAATCAGAGCAGAGGGGAAAACCAGGAGAGAGAAAAACCCCCCAAAAGTGAAACGGGTCTGCTTCGATCTGTTCAGACTCCAGAGCGCCTCCTCTGCGCGTGGACAGCACTTTCCATCGGGAGGCCTGGAGTTGGCCTGGACCCTTGCATTTCTGAGAAGGGCCAAGTGTCCCAGAGCTGGTCATCCCACGGCGTGGCCCTCACGGTGCGCGGCGCTCTGGTTCTGCTCCCTTCGCTCAGCGTCACATCATGGAAGGCTTGTCTGTGGAAGGTGCTGCTGATACTGCTGGGCGTGGCAGCCTCAGTGGGGTCCTTGGGGTGCTGGGGAGTCACTGTTACACACGGGGCTTTAGGTGCTGCTGGCTGTAACCTCACGGTGCCAGGATTTTGTGCAGGGCAGCTGATTTTGCAAGGGACAGCAAAACTCCAAGCTCTCCGAAGGAACGAAGGAACGTCCTGCCTTCTCCAGATGAGGCCGAATAGCCAACACTTGCCTTGGCTGTCTGAACTTGGAGTTTTTACTCATCTGCTTAATCCAGGAAATCTTACCTGTTCTAGACAGGGGCGAGAATGAAGAAGAACCCAAGAAAGCAAGAGTAGACCCAGAGGGGGCATCAGAGGGGCAGAGACTGCAGACAGTGGAGGGGCTGAGGGCGGCAGCTCCAGGCCCCCCACGGCAGCACCAGGCCCCCCCCCACGGCAACACCAGGCCCCCCAAGGCAGCGCCAGGCCCCCCACGGCAGCACCAGGCCCCCCCCACGGCAGCGCCAGGCCCCCCATGGCACCTCCGACCCCCCTCCCTGCCCAGGTGCTGCCAGAGAGGCTGGTTGGCTGTACTTCCCAAGCTGACCGCAAGCTGCGTGTTCAGAGCCCCCACCCCAGCCAGGGTCCCTGTTCCCAAGAGCACCCCCCACTCTGTCACAGACTGGTTTTGTGGACCTAACTACTTCTTGTAGAATTTCGTGGTCAAGCCAAGCACAGCTATTTCCTCTGTCCATTGGTGTGTGGCATGAAGGGGTGGGGCCCTCCGGGAGCCACCCAGGAAGCCTTCCCAAGCTCAGCCCCCCAGGGCTCTGGCCTGACTCCTGCTTGTCCCCAGAGACCAGACCCCATGGTGGCCCTCCTGAAACCTCCTGCTCTCGAGCCCCTCCCCATGCTCCCTTTAATCAGTCAATGGACTCAGCCTTTAGTAAAAGTATTTACTCAGACGTACAGTAAGCACAGTACCCAGCATTTCCCCAAACCCTAGGGGCATCCTCCCGGACCAACACAGCCAGAGTCCAGGAGGTCGGGCCGGATGGCCAGAAGCTTGGAGTCCAGCCTGTGTAAAGGACCCGGGTACCGCAGGGCCTTTCTCTGGAGGGTCCCTAGGAACGTCAGCAGGCAGGTTGGGGTGTCTGGGCCCGGTCCGGGCTGGGCAGACTGCTCGACCACAGGGCTCCTCTGGCATGGTAGCTCTGTTGGGGGATCGCTTGGCAGGTTTTCTGGGCAGCTGCGGTCTTCTCCCCTGGTAGCTGGGGGGGGGTCTATTGGGGGAGGGGGGCTCTGGGCTGTCTTCTGCTGGGGTCGTTGGGAGCTTTTTCAGCTTCCCTACATTCTCCCTGCTCCCCAAGCCACTCTGGGGAGCCCTAGGGCTATTAGTCACCGCCCCTGGCAGGGGCGCAGGGAGAGTTCTGGACCTAGGGGTGATACAGTCATTCCCTGGAGGTAAGCTCCTCCACAGGCCTCTTCCTATGCAATTAAACTATTCCAGCCTCCCACACCTTCTAAGGAGGGGCACTTGCATTACTGAAGCCTGGCTCCCACCCAGGCTGGCCCGTTAGAGTGGGTCGGTCTGTGTCTCTGACCCCGTTACTCAGTCTCTGCAGGAGAAGGGATCAGAATTCCCAGCTGGTCATCCTTTTCATTACAAACCTGGACCTTTCAGTAGGCCCCATGTGACCGTGAGCCATCCGATGGCCTGGCCCTGTAACTCGGTGCCGGCCTCCTTGGCTCTCTGGGAGCAGAGGGACTCCATCCAGCTCCCTCCTGGTCTCATCACACAGTGAGGTCCAAAGGTTTGGCTGGACCTCAAGGCCAATAAAGTGGCTTCTCAGCTCCTCCTGGAGGCTCGGGGATGTGCCAGGCAAACACTTGGGGTGGGGGTGGGGCGGGATGGAATGCCCTGGGGAGACCATTGTCCGCACCTCAAACCCCTTAGCCTAAATTTCTGCTGGGACCAGTACAAAAAGAGTGAATGTAAACCTGCAGTTAATCTCCAAAGACCCAGGCCCTATAGAATCAATCCACCTAAAGTGTCAGTGAGTTGTGAGCAAGCCTTCTGGGAAAGGCTTTCATAGCTGATGCCCCAGGCTGCCAAGCCCTGAGCACCATTCCTATCCAGCCCTGTGGGGAAGAGCTGGGGGGAGGGGGGGAGCCGGGATGGAGACTTGCTGAAGGGGGAGGAGAGAGTTTCTCCTCTGTGCCCCCCACCTAGCAGTAACCACAGAGGGGCTGACAACGAGGGAGTGGGGGACCAAGAAGGTGGAAAGACCCAGACGCAGCTCCGGGCTCCTGACTTCCCCTGACAGAAAGGGGGCCCCCAGTGCACCTGAGAGAGGCGCAGACCCCCCAGACCTAGAAGACAGCCACTCCTAGAGTGGCCTCGAGGACTTGACCAAAGAACTTTCCTTGTCCACAAGTCCGAAGAAGAACCGTCATGAGCACTTCACCCCGATAAATCAGGCAGGCTCAGGAAAAATGGAGCAAAGGAGATTGTGCCTTGCACAGGCCAGGCTTAACCTTTGAAAGATAAACTTGCACACCCGAAGAAGTTCATTCTGATAGGTTTAAAGCAGAAAAGGGCATGGTCTAGTGTTGTGTGGTTGTCCAGAATCGAGGTGGGAGCCCGATTGCTAAGAGGAATCCAAGCCCATGTGACTGGAAGGCTCTGTCTGGGACATTCCCTACAAGAGGCCTCTCAGGCATATCTTGAAAGGGAATGGAAATCCCAGGTACACTCAGACCCCTGGTGGTCCTGTATAAATGAGGTTCCCTCTCAGTGTATCCCTCAAGTTTGGATCCTTTCCCCCTAGGTGCAAAGAGAGAGCACACTTGGGGTTTGGGTTTGGGGGAGGGGACCACAAGATATTTTGTGCCAACTTTTCTCACCACAACCTTTCCCAAAAGCTAATTGAGCCTACTGGCTGATTCTCCCTGGGAAGTATGCTAGTGGGGGCTTGTCAGTGACTGATGGAAGCTCTGGCCCTAAGAGTTACTATCCAGGATCCTGAGAGAAGTCACAGCAGACAAAAGATGAAGTACTTAGGAACAGCTAAGGGGGC